CACGGGTCGTTGTACGATGCAAGGAAGGCCCTGGCTGAACCCTGGAGCTGGGGAGTTCCAGCTAATTAGTCATCAATTGCTTCAGAGAGGAAAGGAGCAAAAAACAACCTGTGTATGCCTGGAGCAGAGTGACCTGTGGGTCCAGGGACCTGGCCAGATGGCACGTCACACAGAAATGGTGGAGGACTCATCTGTCAACGCAGAGCTAAAGAACCACCCAGCCCAGCCCAGCGGGTTTCTGTCTCCCTGCAGCCTCCCCAGCCCCTTCATGCCCCCACGGGACTCCCGGGAGCTCCCAGCCTCCGGCAGCAGCTTGACAAGGCTCTGAGCTGTGCTGCAGCGAGCAGCAAGCCCGGCTCATTTAATCTATTCAATTGGATTCAATTTCCAGCCACATGATTCAATTAGCCCTAGAGGGACAGCACAGGAGAGCAGAGGCCATGGAGCATGGCCTGGCCCACGCTCCAGCAGCCACCGGGCCAGGAAAGGGGAGAGCAGCGTGGAGCCTGCACTTGTCCCGGCTCGCTGGGATGTGCTGGGATGATGGGGGCTGCAGGGGAGCCCCATTCTGGCAAGGAGAGCCAGGGGCTCGTCTGTGCACCAGCTGCTGGTCCTGAGGAACATGTGGGCAGCTGAAGGGCAGAGGCTGGTGGGACCCCCTGTCCTGAGCATTTCTCTTTGCAGTCAGTCACAAACCTGAGAGGTGACGGTAACTCTGGGGCAGATCTGAGGGCTGCCCCTCTGAGCACCTGCCAAAGGTGACCTAAAGATGCTTCAAAAAGACAAGGAGAGCAAGGCAAGCTTCCAGAGATGCTCCCCAAAGGGTGCTGCCTGCCTTATTTATTTGGGGTCATCCCTGTGCTTGTCCAGCATCCTCCTGAGTTCACCTGCAGTGTGCTGCAGGGAGGAGAACCAGGGCTTTGACCAACATGAAGGACTCACAGCAGCCCCAGGGGAGGCCAGGTCCCACAGGACTTCCAACAGCCCTTCTCCAGCCTCCTGGCCCAGACTTTAATTCATCACCTAGTTTTCTGTCTGCCTTGCCCCGAAAGCATCAGGAAGGGCATTAATCAGTCTCTGCTAGAGGAAAAGCCCATCTAATCCCAGCCCCTTTGGATGTCTGCAGGTCCCAAAGCTGGGCTTTACCCCTTCCCTTTCAGGCTATTACAATGGCTGATGCACAAAAAAAATAAACCAAACAACCCATCACCTCCACAGGGACAAGCTTCCATTCAGTATGACCCTGCACACCCCAACAAGTGCCAAACAAGACAACAGAGCCCAGAAAACAGGGGACTGGGATAAATATCCACAAAGTATGGGCGCTGACACCGAGATGGAGAGCTGTGTGTGAGTGCCAAGAGCCAGCTGTAAATCCCCCTGGAGGCTGCTGGCCCTGCACCGGCCCCAGCACGCAGGGCAGCAGCAGTGACTTGGCAGGGGCAGGGGCACCTCCCTCTGCCCACCGAGCGCCCGGCCAGGAGCGGGGAAGGACACCGGCTCCAGCCCTGGAGGGAAGCGTGGGAAAGCAGATGGAGCACACCGGGGCTGATCCCCTGTGCAAGTGCTGTCTAGAAGACAGCTCTGCCCTGGACAGCAAGCTTCTCCTCCTGATACCCACCATGCACCAGCCTTGCAGGACCCCAGAGCAAGGAAAGAGAGTGTGGTTCTTCACGGAGGGAGCGAAAAGCACCCCAGTGGGCACCAAGACACACTCATGTGACGGGTGGCTGAATCCTACAGAGATACATCCCCCATGTCACATGGATGGGATCACAGCAGGTAACAGCCATGACAAGGAAGAGGACAAAGAGCATTGAAAATCAGAGCATGTGGGTGCACCCTGCTCTCTGGCCACTGTACATGAGACTTGGGGGTCTGGTGCTACCTGCTCCTGGCACCCTTGAGAGGCAGCCAAGCCCTCATATGGAGATGACTTTCTGAACCAGCCTCCCCTTGGCACCCTGTGCCTAAGGCAGAGTGCCTCTTCTGACAACCCACAGCCCAAGCTCCTGAGGAGCTGTCTCTCTCAAGTCTGCAGGAAAAATGGGACCTGTAAGAGCTAAGGAAGGAGAGATGATACCAAAAATCACAGTGGCATTTACAAATCAATTTTTAATAACTCCCTCCAAAGTTTAGCTTGAACTCAATTTTTCTCCTCCAGAACTTGGTCATTATTTTGTAAAATATTTGTCTCCCCGCAGCAGCTGCCTAATTTAAAGGCAGCAATCTGATTTCTCCCCATACTCCTCAAGTCTCAAAAACGGTTCTTTCAAGAATAGACTGGGTTATGAATTAGATATAATAAAATACACTCAACTGCTCAGATCAGATACAGAAAAGTTTGAGGCAATCAGCCAGGTCCTAAGGCTGAATGTTTAAATTGAATGACTTTCTGTTCAGTTCAAGCTGGCCTCAGAACATAAGTAGTAGTAGGGTGTTTAACAAAACATGCCAATCTGCAGCAGAGAGTGAGCAGGGGCTTGCTGACAGCAGCAGCAGAAGTGCACAGGTAGGTCTCTGCACCCCTCACTCACGGGCTCCCAGCCTTTCTCACGTTTTCCTTACTGGCAGCCCCAGGGGCACGTAAGAGCTGGAGGGCTGCTCCCTACTGGCTGGTACCACAGCCTGAACCAAGGAGGAGGCACCGCTGAGCACCACCACAACCTGCCCCTGCACAGGCAGGAAGAGCCCAAGGGCAAGAGACTACCCTGCTGCAGCCAGCATGCCAACAAAGGCTGCCAGGGCTACCCCTGTAACCAGCCCACTCACCCCTCTGTGGAGGACAAATGCTGCACACTCTGGCCAGGCAGGGCTCTGCTGTTTATTGAGCTCTAGGTTTGTATGTACACCCATTTACAGTGCTCGGTTCGGTGACGGTGTGACAAGAGGACGTACACCACAGTCTTCCCCAGCCCAGCCTCGGATGAGGGCTGACCTCAGGAGCTTCTCCCAGTCACAGCCTGGGCTTCCCAGTCCATCCCAGCAAGGGAGATCCCTGGGGGAGACGAGACCTTTGACAGCTGAGCCCAGAAAAGCTGAAAATCTCAGAGGCTGCCAAAGCTCCCCCCCCAGCTCTGCTGCCTATCTGTCTAGTCTCAGCCTAAGTGGGATCAGACAAAAGGAGGCGTGTGGACAGCTGACTGACATGATGCTCCAACAGCAGTGATGCTGGGGCTGCACCTCAAGGAAGCAACTCAAGTCCCCTTTAGAAGAAACTCTCCCCCTCCCTCCCAGAGTGAGATCATCCAGCAAGAGCTCCCCACTCGTATGGACAACAGTGCTATGTGATGCGTTTTTACCCATCTTTCACTAGAGAACCTGCCTCCTTCGACATGTCCTGGCCTGTTCCCAAGCAGAGGGATTTGATGGAGCCTGCGTGCTCACCACCCCTCTGACGTGTACCCATTTCCACACACTGCACCGCAGAAAGCAAGTGACTGTCTGGCTGAGCTGACAAAAGCCAGACAATTCCACGCTGAGGCAAAGTACCCTCTTGTGGGGAGAAACGGGCGCTCCCAAGGAAAACACACGGTCTCCATTGGATGCTGTGCCCAGCGGGTGGCCAAGGACACAGCTTTCAGTTTGCCATGCTCGTGGCAGGTAAAGATGAAACATTAACACAATTAACACACGTTAGGATGAATAAGCCTTGGCTAAAAATTGTAGTAAATGAGCATGACATTCACATCACTCACACTACTCTAACCTACGAGGCTAAGAGCAGAACTAGGCACTTTTCAAAAAAACAGTTGGTTTCTAGGGGAAAACAAATTTGATCTCGGATGTAAATAACTTCTCGGCTTCAGTCCACCAAGTCAGGCCAGATCCTAACACCACTGCTGGGAGCTGAAAATGCACGAACAGGGAATGGGTGTTTATGCTGCATATTCCTGAGCTGGCAGCTTGACACAGCACTTGGAGCAGGCTCTGCCAGACCTGGGCACCTCTGAAATGCTGGCTCTGGAGCAGAAAGGTCTGTCTGTGCCCGGGAACATCATCCCACAGTGCTTCCTTAGGAGGATCTCCGCAGACGGTTGTGCTGCAAGTTGCTTGGTGAAGACAGGAGAGCAAGCAAGCAAGTGAAGTAACTACTTCTCAAGCTGCACTTCAATTGCATGCTACACACAAGGGAAAAACTGGGGCCTTCTTAGCTCATCAAGGTCACCAGGTACTTGAACACATGTGCAAGGCAGATGTTCCTGTGAGGAAGAGGAGGATTGTCACAATGCAGTCTCTGGTGGGCAACAAGAGGAGTGGGGGAAGCCAGTCCATCCTCTGCCCCATGAAAATGGAATACCTAAAAATGTCCCTCACCCTTAGAAGTAGCGGAGATGAGCTGGGCTACTGGAATTAACGGTGACCCCAGGCAGAGCTGGTCTTCAGTTACACATGTCCCGTTCCATGACCCATACTCTTGCATACTGGCTCAGATTGGACCCTATAAGCCAACGACCTTGGAAGCAAAATTTTTCCTTCTCCAGTAATCCAGTGGCTTGGTTCAAGTGACACCTTCTGCCATCAGGAGCCAGCAGTGAGCAGGGCCTGCTCCTTGGGAAAATTGTTTTATACCCCAAAGCCATTCCTGTATTGTGGGAGGGCAGGTTGATCCAGGCTGACAGAAAAGAACAGCCCTCACCTGGGATCAGAGCACTTTCCAGCTAGAGCAGGCGAGCGATCTCAACCCAGAACTGTCTCACACAGCTGGACTGGTTTTATTATTTTGGTTGTGAGCTTCCCCCAACTCTGCTACAAAGGTTTTCAGTGCGTGTTCCCTGAGGCTGCAGAGGCAATCTCCCATTGCTGCGTTGGAGGAATGGCTGCCCACCCCCATGGCACCTTACAAAATTGCTTCCTCCTCCTCAACATCCTGATCACCTCTCCTCAGCCCCAGTCCTGCTG